CAATCACCCAATGAGTGAGTAATTGATCCATGGATGCGATGATGACATGACTAACGCATAGATGCACTCATTTGCAGCAATAGATGGAAATGAAGTGTAAATTATGAGCACTTGTGTCCAAACGAGTGGTTCTCGCGGCGCCAACACTGACACCACTTATGGCAATGAGATATCCATCACAACGCTTCCCAGTCGGCAGACACTGTCGACACTTAACTCGTCGGACATCGACATCGATATCAACAGCTATGGCAGCAGTGGTGCCAATCCATCGGTTCACTCGTACCATACGATTAAAGCGAATCCCGTGTCCAATGGCGTGCCTTCCAGTCCTTCCGTTGCATCCAATTCTGCGTTCATTTCCATACCTTTCGGTTGGAAACGAGAGCTAATTGACGGCCGTATCGTATACTACAGTCCAACCAATTGTCGCCTCGAGTCCATCGACGAGTTGTTTAGATATCTGGAGAGTGAGGGCACGTGTAAGTGTGGTCTCGAGTGTCCGCTCCATATATCCAAGAATAGGAATATTTTATAGAAAATGAATTAAAATATGCGATATTAACACAATTCCTATCAATTTTGAGATCAAATTCAAGGATACATTATTTATCGTATAATCGGAGTCTTGGAGTCTTCTTCAAGAATTCCATTCAATACAGTAAATACTTATACTGTATATAACGGGATAATTAACACAAAAAGAAGAGAGAGAGAGAGAGAGAGAGAGAGAGAGAGAGAGAGAGCTTTTAAGTATTCTAATAAAAACATATTTTAAATAAAATAGAATATATTTTTTATTGTAAAGTTATGATAGTATAACTTTCATTAATACCTTACATTCGTATAATTCATATATTTATATTATTCTTATATTATTAAAACTAAATTAAATAATAATTACCTAGTTCTCCACTCAAAGCCATTATTGAATTGTTAACCAAATATTCACAAAAATCTTAAACCAATGGATCGAAAGATATATTGAAAGGAATGTTTTGGAGGAATGGAAATGATTTTATAAACTTTTTATATGATATCTGAAAGTCTATCGCTGTTTGTCAGTCTCAACCATTTGATTGGTCTTCCCTAACAGTAATCAGTCCTTGAATTAAGTCAAAAACAATTTTAAAGTAAATGTTATTTAAAATATTAATTGATAACTTTTAGTCTCAAAATCACAAAATGTGTATTGATTGGACTATTCATACATCAGTTCACGATTTATACTTTAATTGACAATCATTTTATTGATTTCTGTTTATTTAAGATATTGTGATTTTAGTACCAAACCATTACAGATAGTCTATATCATTTTCAATACTTTGCAGTCATTTTGGAGTCTGTATTCATAGTAATAGTACAATATTTAAAATGTTATCACAACTTACAATCACGGCATCCCTCTGTTAAACGATATCATTCATTACTTTAAAAATGACTTCAGAGAATTTAATTTTTAAAATTCTAACCTTATCATATAGTTCATGTAATTTTGTATTCAGTAAACCAAGTCTTAAAAAATGTTGCCATATGTCACAATTTGGGAACATTTAATGCACTAATCAATTCATGCAGATTATTCATTTATAAATTCAATAGTAAGTTTACAAACTAAATTATGTCAGTTCTATTGTTCAATATTTTACAAATGACTTAGCAATATTTAAAAACATGCTTTTTAAAAAGTTATCTAGCATAATATGAAAAGTTAAAAAATTGTGATTCACCGCATTACATCATTTATTAAATGATTCATTTAATAGGATTACAATGATTCCCGAAATTATTATTTTAGTTTGACCTCAAAATAATCGGAATTATTTATAGACTACTAAATTGGTAGTACCAATCTAGAAAACTAAGTTATTTATAATAAAATAAAAATAGTTTTGCATTAATTTAATATGAAAGAATATTGATTATTATACCGTAGTATACGTAGGTAAGCTTAAATATTAACAGATTGGTTTATTAATAATTTTACTAGATTATTATTTAATTAAATAAAACAATTCTTAAAACATAAAATTTTTATTGTTTGTAAGTTGATTTTAATAATGGAAAGTTTTAAAAAGTTTTATCAAGTAATCTGTGAACTTTCTTTGTAATCTATAACTGAAACACCATTCACAAAGTTATCATTTCAATCTTAGTGTTTAGGATCTAAACTTTTGATTGAAATTTAACGACTTATTTTAAAACAAAAGTTTATAAAGATTCACTTGTTTCTTATAATTTTTAATATTTTTATAACTTTGAACGAGGAGTCCGAATTGAGGATTTATACCGGCCGATGACAATACGATAGTGTATACAATGTTTAGAAAAACTCAAAATTAAACTGAAATATAAAGTTTTCATATCTTATACACTAAATTGGCGTTTTTCTGCAATATAATTTAAGTTAACAATGTTTTCATACATACCATCAAATTCAGTGTAAAATTCTCTATTGAATTGATATATCACATGTGTATATTTATAATGAAAGATGTCTCGATAAAAGTGATCACTGCGGCCGAACCCGAGGTCATTGGACGGTATAAATCCTCAATTCGGACTCCTCGTCCAAAGTTATATAAGAATCAATCATAATATGAGCCTTAAAGAACCAGATAGGCGCTAGCTATTTTTATTTAATTAATAATTTGACTCAGAATCCAATTATTCATAAAATATTCATAGGTTTACGGTAAGATAGTAACTATAACTTATCAGAGTACAAGTAAAATATTACTAATTATTTATATATAAAAAATANTAACTATAACTTATCAGAGTACAAGTAAAATATTACTAATTATTTATATATAAAAAATAGCTAGCGTCTATCTGGTTCTTTAAGGCTCATATCATAATTAAAACTGCATTCATTCAATGTGATGAGAGTCCAATAAAGTTTCCTTGTTTTCCGTTTACAACATATTCGCTATAGTGAACACTAGCTCACGACTGACTGTATTATAATAGAAACACTAACTCTTAAACTTTTAAATCTAACTGAAATTGAAACTATTCAAAGCCATCAAAACCAGTAAAAGTCAATTCAATTACACAAAGTAAAATGATTATAAATAATACCTGAATAATAGAAAACTGTCCTAACATTTAATATATACCTCACTATTAAACTGCTTAATCCTAAAAATTACTGATGGGACAGGAATTGACTATAGATTTGGCTATAAATGGACACAAAAATTGAGTTTTCATTTTAGAAGCAATTAGTGATTGAGTTTGAAGAGATGAAAAGTATATTATTTTAATTATCGGACAAATATATTATAAGATTTATTTAGATTTATTATAAGACATAAACAAAACTGTGGACACAATGACTACTCCTAAAGATTTGATTGAAATGAGTCGTAAACTCGAGGCTATAGTCGCCGACGACGGCAAACAAAAGTCGACTCAAGTGTTGGAAATAATAAATGTTCTCAAAGTCCTTAATATCGACCCGTTTTTGATACGAAACGCGACAATCATTCTTACGGTCAATAATCTGCGCAAATCGATGAACAACGAAGAAGTGGTGAAAGTGTCGAAGAATTTGTTGCGCTCGTGGAAGAAGTCGGTAATCGTTGAGAACAATGCGCTCAAGAGTTATATAACGAATGGTTCGCATCCGAAAAACGAGACTCAGGAGGAAAAGGAGCGAAGACGTAGGGCTAAGACTCGGTTGGAGTCACTCTTGAAAATGGGAACAAACAGTCATCAAATTCGTATCAAAAGCCGAGAACTTCTCTTAAAAGCTCTTCTGTCTGGCGGTGACATTGAAGAAGACATCTTTAAGTTCGTGAGACTCGCCATTGAAATCGAAAAATATATTTTCCAAGAGTTTCAGAATACTGGTCACAAATATAAGGTTCGCGTCCGAAGTCGTGTCGCGAACTTAAGGGACGACCAAAACACAGAATTAAAGGCCAAAGTATTGGACGGAACCATAAAAGAAGAGGAAATCGCGAGAATGAGTGTCGAAGACATGGCCAGCGATAGCCTCAAGCAATTGCGACAACTGTATCACGAGGAGTCCATGATAGCCAACACTCTGCCCGAAGTGTACGGCACCACCTCTGACCTACTCAAGTGTCCGGAGTGTAAGAAAAATACCTGCGCTTACAATCAGGTGCAGATCGATCGCGCAGATGAACCCATGACTACATTCTGCTATTGTGTCTCATGTGGTCATCGCTGGAGGTTTGACTGAAAAGTATTGTTTATCCCGCATATGACTGAAGTTATTATCTAACACTTGTATTCTTTGTATCTCTACTTATGTTATTTATTCCCTATTTTCACAATTCTGTGTTATATTTGTTTTTTTATTAACAAATTTCCTCAAATGATTGGAAACGCAAGGTATTAGCGACTGTTTTATATCAATTTTTAATATTTTATTACATTTTTATCTAAACATATACTGTATATAACTTATTGTATATAACGTACAACAATATTACGTGAATAAGCGTTAAATTGAATTAAATATACATTTGAATTGATTGTAATGAACAGATCATACAATCAAAACTGATGTTCAGCGTAGACTTGTATATACTCTCCATTGTGTTATACTCTGTGGGACACGAGTGTACAGATCGAGAGGTATGAGAGATTGACCGCTAATGTCATCGATGTGGTGGTGCTATCGTGTCAACTGCTATCGGTCTCAACGACATAACGTGTAGGTGCGGATACTAATAGGTGGGCCACTGACCCCCAAACCATTGCCCTACTGAACGCACAACTCATCGGCGGCTGAGTTGACCTCACAGTTGGTGTCAGTGGAGTCTGTGATGGTCTGCGACTCCTGATCCCTGTGCTCTCCTTTGTGTTCCTTTAGTTTCTTTTCATTATCGGCCGCCTGTTTCAAAATGGAGGCCACAGTCGGCGGATGCGAGCGATTAGTTCTGTTGTATTCCTTTCGTCGTCGAGTTCTAGTGAAAGGTTTGGTCGTCTCTGGAATACGCGTCCTTTGAGGCAAAGACATAGCGTTCGCGATATTAATAGCGTTTTGGAAAGCGTTGGGCAGAGCTGTGAGTCCGGCGGTGGCAATGTGTGGGAACATCGCTGGTTGTGATGCCATCGTATGATTGATAACCATCTGATGTTCGTGTTGTGGCATCAGTTGAGGTATGATAAGAGTGGTCCCCGGGACGGGAACTTCAGGCGCAGGCGTTTGTTGCAAAACAGTCACAGTGTTGGCCGTTATCTGAGTCAATGGCACAGAATTGATGAATTGAAGGACTTGTGGGGCACCGGAAGCGTTGTTTGAATTGATTATCTGAGGCGCGACACCAACGGCTGGAATGACGTCCGTCACAGAACTGGTAACTGTTGTGACATTATTAGGAACAGAGAGCGGAGGCATTGGAGGGATGGAAGGGTTTTGTGAAAGGATTGATATATTATTTTGTGAATTACAGTGAGAGTTGTTGTGTTGTGTCTGAAGTCCTGAATGATATGTCGGGTTAAGAGTTATGGTATTCGTTGACAACGGACTGGCGCTGAAGGAAATGGCACCGGAAGTGACGCAATTGTCCGCAGATGGGAGCGGTATATAAGAAGGAATTGATGTTATATTGGGATTACACACAGTATCCGAAGACTGGAAGGGATGGCTATAAGACTGCGGATGAGAGGATTGTATGAGATCTACATTTGGATTCTCATACGAAATCATTTGTCCATAATTTGTGGCATTTTGTGGCGTTAAGTAAATCGATGTCTTATTATCGTTGGGAACACCTATTTGAGAGGAATCACACGTCGAGAATGAATAGACACCTGTATTGCCGCTCTGGCCGTACAGACAGAAGGAGTTGGGCGCCGCTTGGGGTAGGAATTCACCGCTCATTTGCACCGAATAATGGCATCGATTGTCACAATTGGGCGTCTGTTGGATGTATTGCTGCTGCGGTTGGGGACTAATAATAGTCTGCTTTTCTGGTAAGTCTTGTAATCCATTCAAACAGTTCTGTGGGAAGGGATGACTGATCACTGATTCGGTGGCACTTAATGTTTGCCCAAATTTTGCTAAATTTTCATTTGAATGTATGTCAGAAACAGTATTAATGATGGAATCGTTGGGATATTTGGTGACATTTATTTGACATTCATTTGAGTTATGGTTTAAAACGTTAGCAAAATTCGCGACATTTGAGTGGTTTTGTTGTGCGCTTTGAATGTCTCGTCTTTGCTGTAGTTTGAAATGCTTTGAGTCGAGAGTTACACTCAATTCATGTCTAGAGAGATGACTGTCAGACCTATCGGTTGCCTCGAAAACGGTGTGTTTTCGGTGAGAGTGGAGTTGATTGTGGTTTTGGTTGAGTTGTTGCTCAGCGATCAGCTGTTGTTCCCTATAAGTGGCGAATGCGATGATCTTTCGCTTGTGATTACATAACTTGTTTTGATTACTACTTTTGGCGACTTCGATGTCATAGGGCTTGGATAGGACACAGACATCGAAGCTGAATGTCTTGGATATATGGAGCGGACACTCGAGACCACACTTACACGTGCCCTCACTCTCCAGATATCTAAACAACTCGTCGATGGACTCGAGGCGACAATTGGTTGGACTGTAGTATACGATACGGCCGTCGATTAGCTCTCGTTTCCAACCGAAAGGTATGGAAATGAACGCAGAATTGGATGCAACGGAAGGACTGGAAGGCACGCCATTGGATGACATCTGCGACACGGGATTCGCTTTAATCGTATGGTACGAGTGAACCGATGGATTGGCACCACTGCTGCCATAGCTGTTGATATCGATGTCGATGTCCGACGAGTTGAGTGTCGACAGTGTCTGCCGACTGGGAAGCGTTGTGATGGATATCTCATTGCCATAAGTGGTGTCAGTGTTGGCGCCGCGAGAACTACTCGTTTGGACACAAGTGCTCATAATTTACACTTCATTTCCATCTATTGCTGCAAATGAGTGCATCTATGCGTTAGTCATGTCATCATCGCATCCATGGATCAATTACTCACTCATTGGGTGATTG